GCTTTTCGAGAGTATAGGATGTGAGAACCTTATTTGAAAGTTTCAAAAAAAAAACACCTTATTTGATGATTTGGTTTATAAAAAAGATGAAGAAGTTAAGAGTTCAGACACTACTTACGCATGGAAGTCATATTGTAAGTTGATAACTGTTCAAGCTAATTTAGGAAGTAAAGAAGCTGAATGGAACTCTTTTGGTGTTTTCTAATTTGGTATTGCTCTTTATGATTATCGGTTTTATCGCCTATAACTAGTTTGATCCACCATAAAATTTAGTGTTAAAATCATCTATGCCAGGTAACTTTTTGATCAAAACGATTTGAACGGGACGAGTAAGTGTTGGGAAATGACGCGGGTAAGGGTTGGGATGGGACAATTAAGGAATAGGACGGGACGCGGATAAGGTACGAGGCACATGAGATGGATATCGTGTTTGTTAATTGAATTAAGTAATTGATTTTGTGATGAATGTAAATACTTAATTTATAATTTTAGAATCTTATTTTTTGTTATTCTTATCTCGCGCAACGCACGGGTATTGCATAGTTCATTAATGATGATGATGTCAACGTCAAAAGATGTTTGCCGGAAACAATTCGCCAAGAACTTTTTTTCCATCCGAAGTAAAACATACTTTTTCTTATTATAGGCCTAGTCATTGTTTTCAGTCCACTGGTCCCATGCACAGAGATGAGACTTTTATACTTTTAACAAGCCAAATCAAGCAAAAAAAACATGAAACCAATCTCACCTTAGTATTAATCTTGTATTAGCTTTCTGCAATCAACAAGTACATGACATCTGATGGATTTTTCACTGGGAATCTGATTCATGTAAAAAGACAAACAAGGATCAATATCTGTAGGAATAGAAGCAATGAAATCTAACATCATAAGAGCCAATTCATAACATCAAATCAGAGCCAATTCATAACAAACCAATTCATAATTTAGTTTTTTACAACATCAAATCAGGGATGCAAGACAAGGAATGCAAGATAATTGTAAAACTGACCAAAGTACTATAACAAGAGAAGTCTAGTCCTCGTTAGTTATGAGACAATAGACAAAAAAATTATCGGGATCTGATCCATAATCTTAGAATGTTATTGCATTTTAAAAATCCGAATCTTGCCAGGAGTAGAGACAAACCTGTAACAATATTCTAAAATGCCAGAAACAGAGATTATGTTTGAAAGTTTGTTTTTTTTATCTGTCTCATTACAGTGAGAATGTTCTGGATTTCTAGG